GATGATGGGCTCAAGTATAGCAGGGATCATGGAGCTGTCGCGGGATCGGGCAGTGTTTTTCATTCTGCTGTGCATGGGGTCGCTATGAGTCGGAAACGACTCGACGGCACCTAACAACAACAACAACAACATAGCTAGTGCATCAACTCATGATTTTATAGTTGTCGTCATTACTTTTCCCTTTTTAATAGATAGTTTGCTTATTAAATAAATTAAGTAAAAATGAGTCAAATACAAGTAAATAGTAGAGTCAGTGGTAAGTAGATAGGGCAGGCTGGCCCATGAAGCATTGCAGTAATTCAGAGTCCAGAGGAAAGCCATCCACCTGGGCCACCTCACTTTTTCCAACTAGATGCCCACCTTTGAGCCATCAGCTATGGCAAGGGCAGAGAGTAGTGTATGGAATCTCCTGGTTGAACGGGGCATTGGGCAGGCTGACACTTTGATAATATCTCTACAGCATTGGATTCTTGGTGGCATTCTCAGATCACCAATGGGGGAGTGTCATCTTGAGTCAGGTTCCCAGGAAATGGACTCTGAGGTGGCAGTTTTTGTGCAGGAGGTTTCTAGGGTCAGCACTGTGAGGGAGTGAGGAGAGTGGAATTGGGCCGTGGGAGAGCTGAGCAGCCGTGGTGTAGCAGAGGTCTGTGGGAAGCTGTCGAGCTGGAATGGCCCTTTAAAGTTACTCAGATCAAGGCACGGGAGGGGCCGTGACCTTGTACAAGCTGAAGGGACTCCCTCTACCATCACCTAAATATTGCTACTGTTAAAACTTTATTTCTGCTTTGTTTACAGTGTTTACAGTGTAGGATACTCAGCATTCTTATGCCTCCTTAATCCTCAAATTCTTGACTGGTAACTGCACTGGTTACAGGCAAAATAGCATGTGGTTAAAATTTTTAAGTATTTCTTCAGTTCTTTAGTGATTCTTTCACAGAACATACAAAGCTATGAAAATCAGTTCTGCTCCTAAAATAAACAGACATTTGCTTCATTGCCATGATGGTGTTACTCACACCATTACTGACTGTGCTAACGCAAAGCAGTGAGAATGTTCAGAAAGAAGCAGGAAACAGAGTCACCGAAGCATCCTCAGGACTTGCCCTCCTGTGCACACTCCTTGTTTGCTGCCACTTTCTGGATATGAGCAGAAGTACAAATGACTGCACATCCTGCTCATTTGGGGCATCAGATATGTTTGTAACTTCCCATTATCCAGGGGAGGGTCACCAGTTTATAGGTTAAAAACATAAGTAATAAATTTGTGGAGAAATTAAAACTGCCACAAGCCAAGTTTAAAAAGGACTGAGATCTTAGTCTTATATTGTCTGTGGTGTCACCAGCTCCAGGGTATTGCTCCAAACCCAGCTGGAAGGTGTTGCAAAACCTGTGATATATACACGTCACCCTTCTGAAATCTTGAAAATTCTTAATTCCAAAGCAAGAGTTTCAAATAAAGGTTGTAGATCTGGATTCTAAAAATTACTTACCCTTTTGGATGGTGTATGAGGAATGGTCCAAAGAGTTTCTAAATAGTAAAGCTAATTGCACAGATGGCATTGTTTGGTTCAGTGGTAGAATTCTCGCCTTCCATGGGGGAGACCCAGGTTTGATTCTTGGCCAGTGTACTTCATGTGCAGCCTCCATCTGTCTGATAGCAGAGGTTTGCAGGTTGCTGTGATGATAAAGACAGTGTTTCCCTGCTATTCATAAGGTTTTCAGTGGGCTTTTTTTTTTTCCCCTCAGAAGTGGACCTGGCCACATCCATCTTCCTAGTCTGTCTTAGTCTGGAAGCTTCGCTGAAACCAGTCCACCATGGGTGACCCTGCTGGTCTTTGAAATACCAGTGGCATAGCTTCCAGCCTCACAGCAGCACACAAGCCACCACAGTATGACAAACTGACAGATGAGTGGTGTCAGCACCACCAACAGAACGTGGAAATTATTGAGCCGTATGATTAACATCACACACAAGTAAAATTTTGCTAAATACAATTCAAAAACAATTGCATCAATAGGGAACTGCCAGAAAGTCAAGCCATTTTCAGAAGAGGATATGGAACGAGGGCTTTCATTGCTGATATCAAATGGATCTTGGCTGAAAGTAAATAATACCAGAAAGATGTTTTCCTGTGTTTTATTAACTATGCAGAGGCTTTTGACTGTGTGGATCACAGCAAATTATGGATAACATTGTGAAGCATGGGGATTCCAGAACACTTAACTGTGCTCATGAGGAACCTGTACATAGACAAAGAGGCAGTCATTCATATGGAACAAGGGGATGGTATATGGAAAGGTGTTGCCATGAATTGGGTCCAGCTAGCAACAATGGCAGCTAACAACAAAAACAACAGCAAAGATCATTTTCATTACATTTAGATTGAAAATTCACTTTTGCAGCATTTTGATTGATTCTGTTATATCCATGGTTTTGGCACTATCTGATTTCCTCCTGTACCTCTTTCAACTTTAACTCAGATATTTGACTTCAAATCTTACTCAAAATCTTGAATGTGGACTCTGTAAGATTTTATTTTATACACATGCAGTGTATCTTTGTTTCTCCTGCATATGCATCTGTTAACCTGTGTCTTTCATAATACATCAGGTCAGTATTTCCCAAATGACAGCATATTCACAGTAGCACCAGGTTGACAAAGTCAACCAGGTTTCTTTACTATAGCGCCTCTTAGAACCCTTTAATATGCTTGGATATGTTGGGGGTGGGGCATTGCTGGTTAAGTGTAGGGTTTGTTCAGGAAGCATCTGTCACCGTTTCCAGAGCTATGTTCTCTGCTCACATCATTTCCTAAACATTCTCCATCATGGTCTTTTAAAGCTTCGTTTTTAATAGCTGCATAATACTTCATTGAATGATTATATCATGGTTTATTGATTGATTTCCCCTTGTAAGGGCTTTTGGTTTTTCATTTTTCCTCTCTCCTCTTATTTAGCAAACATTTAATGAGCACCTACTCTGTGCTCGTTCTGTCTGTACTGGGGTTACAGAAGTGGCCAAGACACCCATGCCTTGCCCTCGTAGAGCTTAGGTCTTAAAATCTAGTGGGAGAGACTGATAAACAATAGGTAAAGAAAATAATTATATCTTATCAGACATGCTGTGAAGGAAATGTTAGTGTTGCAGTAGAAAGTGGTGGGGTGTTCTTTTAGATGAGATGGACAGTGAAGGTTCCCAGGTGAATGGCTTCAAGCTGAGCCTTAAATATGACAAGGAGCCAAAAATGCACAGAGTGTGGCAGAAAGAAGCAGCAGGTTCAAAGCCTGAGGAAGGATAGAGCCTGATGTGTTCCAGGAACTAAGAGGAGAGCACTATGGTTTTAATAAGGAGTGAACTGCTCTATGCCTTAAGTTTTTTGCTCATTTGTATTTATTTTCTTAAGAAAGATTCCCAGAAGGGAAATAATTGGGTCAAAGGATATCAACATGTTCATGACTCAGTATATATTGAATTTGGTTGTGTTTCTCAACTAAATCTGTAATGTAGACTAAAATTAATGAAATGTGAAATAAGTCGGAGTTGTGCTCTGTAATTAGTTTTCTTATTAGATAATATTGTCAGGTACTGGAGATGTGTAGGTACCAGGGAGGGTTTACTGAAACAGTCATCTTGATCTAGGAGAATTCTGCTGGATTCAGGAGTAACAGCCTCTCTTCTCCCACCAGGCTGTGAAGCTCACCAGCTCTCGAACTCAGCTACCTTATGAATACTACTCACTGCCCTTCTGCCAGCCCAGCAAAATAACCTACAAGGCAGAGAATCTGGGTAAGTTCTTCTCTCATATTGCTATCAGCTTGTCCTGAAGGGGTACCCAGGTCCTTTCATAGTAATAATGGCAGTTAACCCTTCTGGAGACTTGTGATGTGCTAGGCACTTTGTGTTTAGCTTGCATATATATTAGCTCATTTAATCTTGTCATAACTATCCCCATTTTACAAGTTAAGGCACTTGTGTTAATGATACTTTTAGTTAATGGCTATGCTGGGCTTTGAATCCACGAAGCCTGGCTTCAGAGTCAGAGCCCTTGGCTACTGTTCAGCACTGGCTCTCCCTTGGTTTTTAATTAACTCCTTCTGCCTTGTGACTTTTGTCACCTAGTCTGCTTTTAAGGAGCTCTGATGGTGCAATGGTTAAGTACTTGACTGCTAACTGAAAGCTTGGTGGTTTGAACTGACCTGTAGCTCTGCAAGGGAAAAGATCTGACAGGCTGCTCCCATAAGGATTACAGCCTAGGAAACCCTGTGGGACATTTCTACTCTGTCATTTAGGGTTGCTATGAGTCAGAATCAACTCAGTGGCAATGGGTTGTGAGTCAGAATCAACATGACAGCATACAACAACCACCGTTTGTGTTTAATTGAAAGAGTGATTATAACTTTTGGCCCTGAAGCAAGCAGAGATGGCACCATAGTTGTTAAGCTGTACAGGACTTACCTCAAATAAGGTGTGAAGCTCCTAGCACAGTGCCTGGTGCCAGTCTTCCGTAATTAGTAGCCATTTGATTTTAATTTAAATAATTCTCCACTTCGTGAAATTTGAGTCTTAAAGGAAAAGACACTTGGAGCATCTATTCAGGGCACAGTTATTAGTGCTCAGTCTGTGCCTGTCTAGGTGTTAAGTCCTGGAGATAAGATCATGGAACAGTGTTCTCCCTGACCTTACAGAACTTAGGAGCCTTTGACCTCTAAACCTCTGCTGAATCTTCATGAAGCTGGGGGTAACAGTTCCAGCCTCATAGAAATGGAGACTTCAGTGGGATCTTTTGTGTAAAAAAGCTGTCCTGCCATGTTATCTGTCATTCTGTCCATCTGTGGTGCCTCCCTTCGTGGTCTAGGAGCTTTTTAGGAGAAGAGGGTATGTCTTACACTCCTTTCTCTTCTCAGTTTCTAGCCTAGTTCCTAACAAACAGTAGGCATCCAGTAAATACTGTGTCCTACTTGGGTGGAGCATAAACATCCTTTATTGAATGAGTGTTGAATTGCAAGCCTTGTACTCTCCTGCATCCCCACAATCACCATCAACACTTGCAGGGCTCTTCCTATGAGCAGACCTATTCTAAGCACTTCTGTGCTTATGAATTTATTTTAATTCTCATAACAACCCTATGAGGTAGATACTTTTACTTTCCCCAGGTTGTAGATGAGGAGAGTGAGGCACAGGGAGGTAGAGTAACTTGCTCCAGGTCATTCACCTACTAAGTGGTGAACCTCAGAAACCCAGGTTCCAGAATCTGTACGTTTGCACGCCACAATCTGTACACTATCATCTTGATTCGTACATTAACTCTGTAAGCCAGAGATTGTCCTCATTTCATAGTAGATGGAGCAATGCTTTACGGGTTTGGAACGCTTATTTGTCAGGGTTACATGGCACATAACCAAAAAACTAAAAAACCAAACTCAATGCCATTGAGTTGATTCTGACTCATAGTGACCCCCATTGGGTCTCTGAGGCTGTAAATCTTTACGGAAGTAGGTCACCCCATCTTCCTTCTGTGGAGTGGCTAGTGGGTTTGAACCATTGACCTTCTGCTAGTAGCCAAATGCCTTATCCAGAGCTCCTTATATGGCACATAGGTAAAGAATTTGAGATTCCAGACTAGATTATTTTACTGTAAACCCAGAATTCCTTCTGTGGTCTCAGGCTACCCAAAGGCTCGTTGGGCTGTGTGAGGATGGTGCTCATGCTGACCACGTTGAGGGGGACTCATGCCATGGTGTTTGTGGTAGAGCATCCGTGGAAATGTGCTGCAGTACAATAGCAGGCTCTCAGAGGGTCCCGATTCATAGCTTGTTGATCATGTAGTATCAGGAAGTGATACCTGCCTTCCTTGGTCTGCAGCTCTGTTCCGTTTTCTGTATGTTCTTCCCCTCCCAGACAAGCTCCTTGCTGACCTGAACAGAGGTGGGCAGTAGGACCTGGTGTAGAGGAGACAGCCCAGGTATCTAGCACACTCACAACCCCTTCATATGACCACGGGCAAGTTGCTGACCTACTTTGGTCCTCAGCAGCTTCGGCGTCTATAAAATGGCAGAGGATGACTCGAGTCATTACAGCAGTGGGCTTTGCAGATGTTTTATTGGTGTCCTTGCTATCCTCTGGCTGGTCCATCCCTGGGCTTTACAGGCTCACCTACCTTACAAGGCTTCTAAAAGGATCCAAGGGAGGGGAGGGCTTCATCCAGGCCCCTTTCATCCTCTTTCTCTCCTCGGTGGTCTCATTCACAAACATGTACTGAGTACTGCCTGTGTGTACAAACACCACTTGCCAGGACTGCCATGTTGCACAGCTGAATGTTGCCCCTAGAGTGGTATAGGTTGTAGGCCTATCACTTACATGTGTATGCCAAACACATAGTGTTCATCTATAGCCCTGACCTCTCTCTGAACCTCAGATCTGGATCTCTAACTGCCTGGCTGTCGTATCGAAACTGAAAGTGCCTTAAATTGAAATCTACTGCTTTTCCGATTTTCCCACCTAGAACCAGGCTGTAGAAACCTCAGGATCTCCCTCGCTCACTCATGTAGGTTTCACCTCCTCAGTCGCTCCTGAGTCTATATACTCATCTCTACCCTTACCACACCTGTCATCCAAACTATCAGTAGAGCTGTCACCCCTAGCCAGTTCTTTGCATCCTCCATGTTTTCTTCACAGAGCTGCCTGAGTGAGGCTTTGTAACTTGGAATTGTTTTTCCTTCTTAAGGTAACGTTATTTTTCACTTTACACTTGAGTCAATATCCAGACTCCACTGGGTAGCTTGCATATCTCTTACTAAGAAAATGGATATAGGTTAATTCACATTTATTGAGCTTCTGTTCTGGGAAATACTAGAAGAATGTTACCCCATTTAGTTCTAATAGCAGCTCTATGAGGCTGGTGGCATCTTCGTTTTTGTTAAGATGTAGGGAGATTAAACCACTAACTCAGCCATAGCTAGAAAGAGAGAGACAGGGCTGAGGTTCAAATTCAGATGTCTTGGATGCTGCAGTCTTAATCCAAATGATTTATAAAGATTTTTCTTAGTCATCTCATTGTCTCATTTAATCCTTACAAGAATCTTGTGCAAGACAGGAAGCTTGGGCAAACCCCTTGTTGTTGCCAGCTCGCTGCCATTTTCCTCAGTTCTAGGAAGGGGCTGGATTAGATGACTATTTGATGAGTCCACGACGCTGGGGCTTCCGAATACTACAAGCAGCAGTAGAGCCTGAACCAGACTCTTTCTCTGGCAACCTCTGAAATGGTTCCTTTTTTGGAACAGCTAGCAATACTTTGCTTGTTGTTTTCTATGTACTTTAAAATGATAGTCTGTATTTCACTTATGAGAATTTATTCTATGCTTAACTTAAAATTAATTTCAAATTATAGTTATTTACTTTAAAAAAAAAGAAAATCTTTTAAAAATCTGGAAACGTGAAAGGTGAGAATGGTTGCACAATTAAAAGAATGTGATCAATGTCGCTGAGTTGTTCCTGGAGAAATTATTGAATTGATGTATGTTCTGCTATGTATATTTTTTTTAACAACTTTAAAATTTAATAAATTACTCTTAAAAAATAGGAAAAAAAACCGCCTGAGTAATCTTTCTGTAACCAGAATCAGATACCATCTTCCCCTGCCTTTGCTGGAAACCCTTCATTGGCTTTTATTGCTCTCTGATTAAACAGAAACTGTCCAGTGTGGCCCACAAGCCCCTTGAGGCCTAGCTCCTGCCCATCTCTCCTGCTGCCCGCAAGTCACTTTCTCCCTTGCTTTTTGCATTGCAGCCACACAGACCTTCTCCCACCCCTACGGCGCCTTTGCATATACTAGTCCTTCTGTCTCGTCTTCCCTTATCTCTACCTTGTTAACACCTCTCTTCCTTTAGAGCTCATTTCAAGCCCACTTTCTCAGGAAAATGTTGCTAGACCTATGCCCCACATCTAAAGCAAGTTCCTCGTTACGCAGTATATTCTCATTATTGTGATTGTTTAATCAGAGTCTGTCTTCTCACTAGACCATAAGCTCCATAAGTATGTCTGTTAACCATTGACTCTTCAGGGCCTGGCACACAGCCAGTACCCAATACATGTTTGTGAATGAACGAATGACTAGGCAGAAAGTGCCACATCCAGCATCTACACTTGGTAGGCGATTACTAGACCAAGTGTGCATGAGGCGTTAGTCCCCTTTGGCTTGCCCCAGTTTCACATCATCATAATAGAATTAGTAGAATGGCTCAGGATGAAAGTGCCACTTGGTTTAGTTGTCAGCTCCTCGCCCTCAGTGCCTGCTAGCACAGCATCTGGCAGCCAGCTCTTCTGAGGCAACAGGCATGCAAGGGCACTCCCGGTTCATTAACGTAAAAAGACATTTCGGCTCAAAATCTCAGCTATTAGGTTTCACCCTTCTCCCCTCTCTGCCTGAACCAGAAGCTGAAGAAAAATAGGGACATTCTCTGCCCTTGAAGAGCTCGAAGTGGGTAGGGGAGCCAGGAACATACATATAGACACCTGCCACAGGGTGCCATCACTGATGTACGAAAAGGTGCAGCGGTGACGCCAGTGACAATAAATAGCATTTGTTGCCTGCCTCCTCTGTGCCTGGCACTTTACTCATATTAATGCCTTTATTTCTCAGGAGGTGAGTACATTTATCCCCATTTTACAGATGGGAAATTGAGGCTCAGTGTGGTTAAGTGACTTATCCAAGATTGCTCAGCTAGTAAGAAGCAGTGCCAGGGTTTGGACCCTGATGGCCTGGAGTCAGAGCCTGCTCTCTTCTCTGCTACACAATGCTGCCTCCGTATGGAGGGAATTCAGAGGAAGGAGTGACAAACTCTGTCCTGAAGAGGTCAGTAAGGGCTTTCCAGAGAGAGTGAAATAGAAGCTGAGCTTGAAAGGTGAGGAGGAGTTTCCCAGGAGCGTGGCGCAGAGTAGGGCACTCCAGACATGAGAGGATGAGGCCCAGAGACATGAAACATTGTGGGATGTTTGATGACCTCTGAGAAGTTAGTGGTGCTAGGGCACAAAAGAGAAGGGGGGAGGAGAGTGACAGGTGGATGTGGACCAGGTGGGGAAGTGCAAAGAGCCCAGAAGTCCCATTTTTGCCCTGTGGTTCTGTTTGTGTGCCTCTGCTGACCTCAGCAACCTCAGGGTTGAAGCTCTGAGCTCTATCTGTCTCTCTTATGGCAGGAGAGGTGCTGAGAGGGGACCGGATTGTCAACACCCCTTTCCAGGTTCTCATGAATAGCGAGAAGAAGTGTGAGGTTCTGTGCAGCCAGTCCAACAAGCCCATGACCCTGACAGTGGAGCAGAGCCGGCTCGTGGCTGAGCGGATCACAGAGGACTACTATGTCCACCTGTAAGTTAGCCTCTGCACCCTGCTGACGTTGAATTCACGTAGGGGAGGGCAGTGCTGGGAGAGGCAGTCCAGGGGCACTGAGTGGGGCCTTGGATTTCCAGCATTGCCGATAACCTGCCTGTGGCCACCCGGCTGGAGCTCTACTCCAACCACGACAGCGATGACAAGAAGAAGGAAAAAGATGTGCAGTTTGAACATGGCTACCGACTCGGCTTCACAGATGTCAACAAGGTAGGGTATCTCCTGCCTGCATAGTTGGAATGCTAGTGGAGCCACACTGCGTGGGTCACAAGCACTTGAGGCCACAGAGAAGAGGGACATGTTAAACTCTGAGCCTGTATACAGAAAAGATGGGGCTCAACCAAGGGGAGCTTCTCTTGGTGCCCCTATGCATAATCTGTCAGAAGTCAGCGCTGTGGGCTGGCCTCTGGTTGTTTAAAAAAATGCTTCAAGGAGGTAGAAGACAGTGTCCCTATGAGGTCAAATTCCATTTTTACAATATTAAAAGTAACCTCCCTCCCACAAACAAAAAAAAAAACAAATTTCATTGTATCTAGGAGAGAGGGCTAAGTAGTAGTCATGACCCTCAGGCTCCCTGGGTTTGATCCTACCTACATTGTTACTGGGTGACTGACCCTGCAGCTTCACCTCTGAGCCTACCTTTCCTCATCTGTAGGATGTAATAACCATACCTGCCCTGTAGGATTGTTTTGCAGAAAAGAATCGAATAATCCGTGTCAGCACCTTATAGCATAAGACCCAAACCCATTGCCATTGAGTCAATTCCGACTCATAGCAACCCTATGGGACAGAGTAGAATTGCCCCCATAGGATTTCCAAGGCTGTAAATCTTTATAGGAGCTGACTGCCTCCTCTTTCTCCCATGGAGCAGCTAGGGGGTTCAAACTGTCGGCCTTTGGGTTGGCAACCGAGCGCTTAACCACTGTGACACCAGCTCCTTCCTTGAAATATGCTAATAGTGGTGATGGTTATAACAGTGATTCTCTTCATGATTTTCCAAACTCATAAAAGTCACTTAGGAAATAAAGGGCAAAAGCCTTTCTTTTCAGGCACAGCGCCATCCTTGAAGGGCTTCTGTCCCAATTGGGAAAGGTGACAGTGTAAGGCCTGGATCTTTAGTCCTGCTTGCCTTCACTGATTGTCAGTGCCAGAGGGGTTCAGAGAGAACTCGCTGTGCATTCAGGCTGCCACGGAGGAGGTGGGCCTTGTAAGACTCAAACTGAGTGGAGTCAGGATGGCATTCCAGTTCGGTGCCATGGAGTGCTGTGGATAGAGAGTGGAGTAGGGACTGTTCGTGGGACAGAGAGGGGCTGGGGAGACCAGGTGGATTCATGTGGCTTAGAAAAGGATGACAGCAGATATGTTGAGGTCAGATGATAGAAAGCCCTGAATGCCAGGCTAAGGGATTTGGGCTTTTATCTGGTAATCACATGAGCAACGTGATGAGAGCAGTGTTTTTGGAAGGTTGGTACAGCATGCTGGTCGAGGGGAGAGACCCACTGCCTAGGGTGGTCTCCCTGGGTGATTTTCTGGTATTTTCTTGGCTATTAGGTCTTTTGTTGTCATTGTTGCTCTGTTGTAGATTTACTTGCACAATCACCTCTCATTCATCCTTTACTACCACCGGGAAGACGTAGAAGAGGACCAAGAGCATACGTACCGTGTCGTCCGCTTCGAGGTGATTCCCCAGAGCATCAGGCTAGAGGGTGAGTGGGGAGGTGTGACCATCAGGCTGGAGGGTGAGTGGGGAGGTGTGACCAGCTGGATGGGGCTGGGCTTCCACACCCAGGGTCTTCTCACACTTGGCTCCTGAAATGCCCCCCAGACGGATAGGCCAGCCTGGGGTATAGCATGTGGGCCCAGCCACTGCATTCCTGTTTGAGAAGGGGGAGGGGCCTGACATCTGTTGTGCCCTGGGCTGGACAGCTTACCTTTCTTACCACCTCCCAGCAACCCCAGGAGGTATGTGTGGTTACAGACAAGGAACTAGAGGCTCAGAGAGGTTAGTGACCTGGCTGAGATCAAGCGCAAGTTTGGGCTGTGCTGAGCCAATTCACAAGAACCAGCCAGCTCACCCTGGGCTGCAGAACAAGGGGCGAGGATACAGACAAAGCATCTGGGCAGCAGGTTTCTTCTGTCTCACTCCCTCTGTGTGAATGACTGGCGTAGACTAAAATGTGCCCAGAGTCAGCAGTATGGGGATTTGAGCGCCCGGTCCCCATCCTGATGGGCCTGATAGGACCTGGGCCAGTGTCACCTTCCATGTCTGCCTGCCCTCAGCACAGGGCCCTCTGCAGTCAAGCGTTTTGTCCATGGTGGTGGTTTCTTAGCTTTTTCTTTTCTTTTTTAAAGCTATGGAACTATTTTTCAAATAAGATCTTACACAGAAGTCTTATGTAAAACAGATTCCACACTCTCAGAACACCGTACTTTCTCTCCTTGAGTGAGTTTCGTGAGCACATTTTACACTATGTGCATGATGATTTGACAGCATCTGTTCCCCCACACTGGCTTGTTGAGGTTAGAGACTGTATCTAGCACCCAGCATACTACCTGGCACATAGCAGATGCTTATCATGTTTGATACTTGAATGAATGGATGGATGATGGGGTGAACAGATGAGTATATGAATGACTGATTAAAGGAAGTATTCAAGTGGCTGAATTACTAAAGTGCCAGAAGCACTGGGTAAATGAATGATGAACATATGATGGAATGAGTCAGTGGTGTTTTATGTGTTGAATGTGATGGACTGAGTGAGAAAATGAATGTGTGAATCAAGTGAAGGAAAATTGAATGACTTAACAAGGGGTACAGAGCCCTTCTCCTCCCATGACCTCCTGTGGGAGGGCAGGGCTCTGGGAGGCACTGTTGCCAGCTGTCCCAGCTTCCACTTGGGTCCTGAAGGCCAGGGTTCCAGCAGCATGCAACCCCCCTCAGGAACAGACTGAATCTCTGTCTCTTACAGACCTCAAAACAGATGAGAAGAGTTCATGCACCCTGCCTGAGGGGACCAACTCCTCGCCCCAAGAAATTGACCCCACCAAGGAGAATCAGCTGTTCTTCACCTACTCTGTACACTGGGAGGTGAGGAGGGTCCAGAGCCCAAGTGCAGGGGAGGAGGGTTCGGGTCTGGCCCAGGAGTCTTCTAGCAGGAGCCCTGACTCTGAGTGCTTCCTCCCACCCACCAGGAAAGTGACATCAAATGGGCCTCTCGGTGGGATACTTACCTGACCATGAGTGATGTGCAGATCCACTGGTTTTCCATCATTAACTCTGTTGTGGTGGTCTTCTTCCTGTCAGGTGAGATGCCTCATGAGTTAACAAGTGGGGGGAGCAGGGCGGAGAGGGATGAGGACTGAGGCATCATGTCACTTGTAGGGGACTGCTAAAGTGTTCTTGGGGCCTGTATTTGTATGTTCTGTAAGAATTCCCAGGTGTATAGTAGAGCTGACAAGGAACAAGCTTGTAGTCACTTCTTGGTCACACCCAGGTACCCAGAGGGACCGAGTAGTTGAACCAGTGGGCTCGGGACCATAGTCACAGGGGACATCAAGCTCAGTTGGCATAACATACTACACAAAACATTGTTCCACCTCCTACTTTGGCAAGTAGCAACTGGGATCTTAAAAGCTAGCAAGCTGCCATCTAGATGCAATGATGGGTCTCTCCTCGTCCAGTGCAAAGAAGAATGAAGAAAAACAAAGATTCATGAAAACAATTAGTCCTGGCAACTGGTACACCATGTGATCTGTAGCTTATATGACTATGAGACCAGAAGAATTAGATGGTGCCCGGCTACCACTGTCAACTACTTGGAGGGGAGGTCTGTGTAGGAGATCCTGGATAGAGAGGGAGAACAATGTGCAACAAAACTCAAAATCATTTGGGGGAAAAAAAGAGGGAGGGACCAAGTTTGCTGGTCTGATACAGTTTGGTGGAACCTGCGACTATGGCCCCTAGCTGCCCTTCAGGTCTGGAATTGAACCCACACCTGTGGCTTCCAGCCAAACAAAAGACAGGCATATGAGTTGAACATTTACCTGAGGTAGATACGCTCCTTAGGAGAATCATGGGAGAAAGAAGGGCTGTTAATGCACAGGGAGACGGCTCAGGGCACAGGCGTGTGTGGAGGGTTGGACACAGGGAAGAGGTGACTATTGGGAGGAAGTGGGAGGGGAGCTGTTGCGTTGGGATAAATTGTAGTCAATGTCATGAGGCAAAGTGTATGTGAACTGCTGTATGGAAAGTGAATTTGCTCTAAATTTTCACCCAAATCACAATTGAAAAAAAAAGTGTTCTTGGGGCCAAGTGTGGGTCAAAAACAGACAAGGTGTACAAAGGTGAACAAGATTCAGTCTACTCTGGAGAGCTCACTAAACAAAAACCAACTACCATCGAGTCTATTCTGACTCATAGCAGCCTTAGAACTCCCTAGAGGAAGACAAACACATCTATTGATGTGTTCATTCATTGATTAATTCAGCAGAGATTTTGTCGTTGCCTGTTCTGTACCAGAAGTTGAGATAAGGTGTTCAGGAAGCCCAACCCAGCTTCTGCCCTCATGGAGTCTGTATTCTAATCATGGGAGAGAGACGAGAAAGCTCTCCAGTTAGTGATAAGTGCTATGAAGCAGATAAATAAGAGGACCAAGTACACAGCAGTTGAGGGAAGGGTGACATCTACTTTAGAGAAGGCCTTTCTCATAGGCCGAGCCACCATTCAGAGACCTAGGAAAAGACTTCTCCAGCAAGGATCACATCCCTGCAGTGGGACAAGCAAGAAACGGGTTGGTGAGAGGGTGGTGAGCAAGGGGAGAGTGGTGGGCAGACATGGAATGAAATTGTTGTTGTTGTTGTTAAGTGCCGTTGAGTCGTTTCCGACTCATAGTGACCCCATGCACAGCAGAACGAAACACTGCCTGATGCCGCGCCAGCCCCACTATCCCTGCTATACTTGAGCCCATCATCACAGCCACCGTGTCAATCCATCTCATTGAAGGCCTCCCCCTCTTTCGTCGACCCTCCACCCTACCAAG